AAGCTTTCTCACTTGCATCTGAAAATCCATGCAATTGATAATCTCTGATATTGGAACTTCGAGAAAAATAGCATCTTGGAACAGAAACACCATTAAGATGGGTTAATTCATTAACAAGTTCATCGTAAAATACACGCATCTCGCCGCGTAATTCTTCATCCCAATCTGTCTTATCCTTACACATAGACTGGAACATCATCTTTAATTTAATAGTGAATGCACTTAAAAGTCCCAACGGATCGAATATCTTGGCAACTAGCTTTAAAACAGTTCGTTTCGTCGGAGGTAAAGTGCGAGCATAACGTTGAATTTCATTAAATTCGTAATACAGACTGTCGGTTTCTACGTTCCAGTTGACTCCGAGAATCTTTGCCTTGCTGTCGTCAGGAAGTTGTGGGCCGATCGTCGATTTCACATACGTTTGGTTGTCTTGGGACACACTAACATTTTCTGTTGGACTCGAACATTCCTTCGCTTCAGTTGTTAACTCGTTGACCCTTTCACATTCATTTATTCTTTCCGACAGTTCCTTAGAGCTGGATTTCCATTTTCGCAAATTGAATCCCCCTTCTTTCATGATTTGTTTTGATTTCTGGTAAATTTCGAAAGCAGTCCCATCATCCGGTGCACCAGTTGGAAGGTCGTCGACGTATAGATCCTTTAAAACTTCAACAATTTCAGGCTCAGTTTCTTGGTACTTGAATATATGATGAAGAACTGTACCACCTAAGATTGATGGACTTGGTTTGAGACCAAAAACAAGGCGGCAAAATCGTAATTGTTGCACCTTTAACTCGTTTGAATTAATATCTTTAATCCACAAGAACCGAAGCTTGTCTCGATCTGATTCCTTGATCTCAATTTGGAGAAACGCTTTTTCGATATCAGCAGTTAGTCCAATGGCGTGTGATCTGAATTTAACAAGGACGTCGAATATTGGAGGTATGAAATTTGGTCCGTTCAACAAATGATCATTCAAGGACTGTTCGTTATTCCTTTCTTTGGCACTGCCATCAAAAACTATACGAAGCTTTGTTGTATCTCGATCATTTCGAATAACCCCATGATGAGGTATATAATGTGTTGCAGAATTGTCTTCTTTTTCGACAGGAACTCTTTCCACGATACCTTGCTCAATTTGTTCCTCAATAATAGAATTATACTCCTTGAGTAAAGTTGGGTCTTGCTTTAAACGATTCACCAATGAAGTAAGGCGATTGTAAGATAACTCGTAATCATTAGAGAGGGAAAATACCTCCTCTTTCCAGGGCAAGCCCACTTCATAGCGTTTTCCATTAAATGTTATGTCTCGTAAAATATCAGTGGAAACTGAACCTTCATCTCTTTGCACAATCCCTAATGACTCCAAATCCCAAAATCGTTTTAAATTACTAACTAATTCGTCATTTCCTTTCTCTTCGAATAACATTTCTCTCCGTCCATCAATAACAAGGTGTGACATAGTGTGTAATGATGTTGTTGTCGACGTAGGACCAAGAAGTAGCCATCCCAGCTTACTTCCCACAGCTGTTGGACCAGTATCGCTTTTGATAACTTCACCTGTGACGATCTTGTAATAGTAGTCAGCTCCCAAGAGCATGTCAATCGGTTGATTTTCTCCGTCCAAGTTATCAGCAAACTGCAGTCCGTCTAAATGGGGAAATTCTTGAATGTTAATTCTTGTTGACACAGGGGAACAAATGACTGGAAATGCCAAGGCTGATAATTCAATGTCTAATTCACCGTCCTCTCCCTGCAATTGCAGAGAGAACATATCACATTTTTGTCGTTTGAATCCTTCCTCTCCAAAGGTGTTCAAATGCAGGGTTTCTTGCTTTATCGGTTTGAGATCCAGTTTTTCTTTCAGTTCATTCGTTATATAGGAACGTTGACTTCCTGAATCAAACAGCATCCGTATTTTGGTTCATTTTGAATTGGCGTTGTTGTAAGCATATGCAGTTGCCGTTTGAAGTAAAACTGAAGACCTCCGTTGGTCAGTTGTGGTCGTTGTCTTGACTTCTTCAGTTGATTCAGCATCCTTCTCTGTCGTATTTGGCTTATGCAATTCCTTGTTTCTTTCCCAAGTTTGATCTTTCTTTGAATTCTCCTGTTCCCGAGATTGTTGGTTGCTTGTATTCTTGTCAGCGGATTTCATACAAATTGACTGATGATGTTTGCCATTGCACCTTCGACATGTTCTTTGACACTCTGATCCTCTATGTCCGATTCGTAAACAAACAAAACACCGTCCTTCTTTTCTTAAAATTTCCTTTCGTTGTTTGGGATCCTTTATCTTTTCACATGAGGCGGAGAAATGGAAATCATGACAATAAGCACATCGAATTTTATTTGAATTATACGTATTGTCTCCCTCGCGACTATACAACGCTGACGAGGTACCTGGGTTATTATTTCGGTATTGGTTTGGACTACGATTATTTGGAAAGTTCGATTTTCTTTCATTTGTTGTTTTAACTCGTTCGCTAATTTCTCGTGCTTCCACTTCGCTAAGGATGGTTTTCATTAAATCGTCAATTTTCCACACGTCATGTTCCGATTTTCTCGCTATAATCAATCGAATTTCGCTCGGTAATTTTGACATTATTACTGGGATTAAAAGACTCCCATATTGATCTGATTTAATGCCTATTGACTCCAATCCTCTTATATTAGTGTTAATTCGGTCGTATACTAAACGCATAGATGAAGCCTTGTCGTCAGAACAAATTGGAACCTTTAATAGTTCGTCCATGTGTGATGATATTATTTGTTGTGGTCGGCCAAATCTTTGTTTTAATATTTCAATAGACGTTTTATAATTCGCAGACGTCAAGGCAAGTCCTTGTATTGCCCTAGAGGCCGGTCCTTCTAATAGCGAGTGTAAATAATGAAATTTGTCAATGTCAGCTAATCCCTCGTTTTTATCAATAGCGCTTTCGAAAATTTCCCAAAATGTCGTGAAAGAAGTCACGTCCCCTTTGAATTTGGGCAAATTTAGTTTCGGTAATTTTGGTTTCGCTGGCTTCGATTCTACACTACTTGTAACGCCAGTAGCCATATTATGCATCGAAATTTGTGAGATAATCGACTCACCTGTTACTACTTGACTCGGCTGTTCGTATTGTTTTATTCTCTCCGCGATGGCATTGTTTACGCCCATTATTCGTGCGACTATTGCTTCGGAATCTTCGATTTCTTTTTCGATTTCTGCCTCTGAACAAAGGGTCAAAACATCTTGATCTATCGTATTTAATGTCTTCAGTTTTTCCTCTAACAAACATTGGATGACTTGGATTCGTGACACATCGTCTTTCGTTATAATCTCGTCCGTTATTATCGTTGTAGCTTCCTTTTCGTGTTTTGTAACGACGCTGCGGTGACCGCCTCGTATTGCCTTTAATCGTGAAAGTTTTTCGCTCATTTTCGCTCGTTTTATCTTCGTTTAACGGGTTCGTAAGTTCCACTAGTTGGGCGCCATGTAATGAACTTTGGTTGCTTTAATATGAACTTATTTACATATATACAACGCTTGATAATACTTCGATATTTGACCGTATAATCGTATTCGTATTCGTTCGTTCGCTCGACATTTTTATAACGACCACACTCGTGTTCGTCACGTGATTTTCCCTAACTAAATTGAACCAATAACAACAGCATGCAACCTAATGTCAAATATAATATTCCGCATATAATTAACCTAACTCTATAACAACAACCTTATCGTTTTTTTCCGTGTAGGAATGATATACAACAAAGAGGATATATATACTTCATATAAGGCCACATAAAAGGCCCCCCTCAGGATTTTTTTTATTTATTTTATTTAGAAAAAAACAACTTTTATTGATCAACAGGCTCTAATTGTGATATTTCTGTTGACTGTAGTCAATATTTGTGTTAATAAATTTTGAAATTGCATGCGAAAATTACGGTAATGAATCATATTTTGAAATATATAAAAAAAAATATTTGTACTGCACGAGAAAATCCAGTTTCGGACCTAAAACCAAGGAGTTACAAAAATTAGTATTAATTAAAAAAACCCCGCCCGCCCGTCCACTTTTTGGCAAAAGCTAAGGACGCTAACCAACTATTTTTTTATGTGGCCTAACATAGTAATAGAGGATTGTCTCCAGTCTATTATATATATTTATTATTAATTAAATCATTAGTAAAGTTAAAAGTTAAAAACTAATGGTAATTTACAATGTTGGACATAGAAGAAATGAAGGACTTATCGAAGCGATCACTACTACAAAGCGGAATGTTAAATCTTCACACTTTCAACAACTGAAAGATTCACTCCATTATTAACTGACAACGATTTGAAAGAGTGCCAGTTCTTTACACTTGTCAGTGCCCATTAATTCAGTTGCATTAAATTCTCCCTAGACCAGTCGGCAACAGCATTGATGGCATTTTGGGCATCGCTCTTGTTATTGTGGGGTACAATTTCGGCAATCGTGTCATCGACAACTCAGTTCCATTTGTTCACATCATGAATGACTAGATTGTTTATCATTAAAAGAAATAAGCATGGCATGGACCCAGTGACTGCCGCTGGTACCGAACCCACTCAGAGTAACAGTTGATGGCTAACTTAATGCACTGTTTCCGGTTGGTCAAAAAGTCAATTACCCAGTATGCGACACCACAGGGAATTGATATAGGTTGAAAATTTTTTGGACAGAACAAGGTTGTGGTCAGTTAAATCGGATGCTTTTTCATAATCGAACAGAAACTGCGGCACCAGCTGATCCCTCTGTAGCTTTCAGCCAGTGGTGAACCATAGACACTAGGGTATGAGTTGTAGAGGAATTTGGTATACAACCATATGCTTGGTTTTCATATCACATCACGGGGGCCAACTCTAAAACAAAACACAGTTATCAGAGTGAGTCGATTGTTCGTTTTATGTATTTGGTGGCAAATACATGGAATTTCATATAATTTTCTTACTCCAGTACAGCATAAGCATCAATACATTCGAGGTTGACCCCCCGTCAGATTCACTACATAATGCTGTAGTGAAAGCTAATTTACTGGAAATTATATTTTGTAGAGACTTGTGTAATAGTCATATTCAAATATTAATTATGTATATTGAACTATTATCGCATGATCTGTCTTTACTGCTATATAAGTGCAGAATTCTGTACCACGAATGCGTCAATATTGATAACGCTTCTGCATGGACAGCTGGGCCTACGTGGGCTGTAACAACAAATTATGCCAGTTTTGAAATGGAAAGAGGGCATGTTGTAAAACATGGACTGGACCTTGGACTGGACTGGACTTGTAAACTATGGACTGGACTTGTAAAACATGGACTTGTAAAACATGGACTTGTAAACTATGGACTGGACTTGTAAAACATGGACTTGTAAAACATGGACTTGTAAAACATGGACTTGTAAAACATGGACTTGTAAAACATGGACTTGTAAAACATGGACTTGTAAAACATGTACTTGTAAAACATGGACTTG